ACAAAGTAAATGCCCCTTTTTTCCCGTTATGAACCCATCAACCGCCCTCGTGTTTCGGTTGTTAATTTTTTTTCCAACGTGCGCGTCGTATCACAATCTTAGCATGGTTACATTTGAAATAAGTACAGAAAAGAAAACAAAATGTTAAACATCGATACCACATGTTACATCGGTTCTTATCCATCATAACTACGACGAATATTATTTTTTTTGTTAAATCCTGGGAAACGCTAGATAGCGGTTTCGAATGCATTTATGCGTTATTTTCCTCCTTGTTACCTCCTTGCCATATTTTTACCCAGTTATTATCTGGTGGCCAGCAGGTGGAAGCACAGAAATATATTCTTGAATGTATCCAGTGGGAGGTTTGAGTGTCACCCACCGCTATGCATTGTGGGTTTTCTCCAGTTTCCTCACACAGGAAGCCAAACTCTCATTGGAATTCGCCATACACCGCAATGTGGCAGTGCCACCCTGAAAACGAGTTTTGCGACTCAGTTGGTCTCCCCAAGAGAAAACGCATCGTTATTATTTCAAAGTGCATAGAACACAAACTCTCTGGTTCTTTCGGCAATGTCACGTGACTTTACCGAAAGAAGCAAAGAGTATGGATTCCTGCAGTCACGAAAGCTTCAAGTCAAGATTACATATAACACATTAAGGCAATATGGCGCATTATGCGTTACATGATTAGGGTTCTCAGGTTGTCAATCTATCGTTGGATGCAGGCCTCCTCACGCCGTTCTGGCCATGGTGATTGTTTGAACATACTTCCCCACGCCAGGCAGTGCGGGTTGGTAAAAGCCGACATTTTTTTATCCTCCCCCCACTGGAAATTGGACACAAACCTCACCCTGATCCTAGACCAACGTCGCACATCAACAACACAGTCAAATTCACACCTGGCTCGCTTGCTCTGTCCATTGGCACTGTCCCTCAAGGGAAACCGGAGTGACAAATCACATTTAAGGTTAAGCTTGAAAAATATTGTTTTTTTCACAGAAAAATTACATCATTCTATAAACGTTATTATGTACAAAGCTGCTCAGCACACATCGTGAACATTTACAGGCACATACACACAAACCCCTCCCCCGTCTGTCTAACACACATTTAGTGCTGTACACCTCACAAAAACATAGATGGCATCGTGACCAAAACCCATGTCACCTAGACACGAACACATTCCCTTTAGACTCCGTCATTAACCATCGTTAGCTCCACACGATGATACGTTAGATAAGCGAGACAGAAACATTCTCGTTTTAGTTTCCAGTCGCAGTCCACGGTGGCCCGACGCTCACACGCAGAGCCCACGGTGCGAGAAGTCACCACGACTCCCGGCCACGCGGGGCTCCACCGCACCTTCTCCACGGCGACCGCGGCACGGCCGAAGAGACCGGGCCCCAGGACACGACGACGACGAGCGATGTTAAAAGCGGCCGAGCAGCCCGGCGATTGCGCCATTCACTGCGCAGAGAGTGAGAGAGCGGCGCTCGCAGCCAGGACCAGAGCCAGGCCCGCGACGGCCCGGGCTGGAGACTGGGGTCCGCTTGAACTGGGGTCCTCCTGGGCGTAGCTGTCACCTGCTTACGCACGCACGCACGAGATCGCACCCGGCCGGTGACCCCACGCGCCTTGCCTGGCCACGTTGGTCGTAGACGCGGTCACCCCGTGCACGCGCGATGGGCGGCCTGTATCTAGCACGGGAAGGGGGGGGGGGGTCGGATGGGTGCGCGTCACACGGCACGTGCGCGGACGCACGTGCACCTGACCGGGACGCTCGCTCGCTTACTGACCTTGAATGGGAGTGGGGTAACTGGGAGAATGACTTCCTATGAGTGGAAGGGAGGGTGGCAGGGGAGGGAGGACAGAGACAGGAGAACGTGAGAGATGCACACGCCGCAAGCCCCGCACTGCTACGTCCGTGCCCTAACCGCTGTCGCGTCTGGCATTGCAGCTGCATTATTTATTTATTATTATTATTATTCACCGGACTATTCCTCGGGATGGGCACGTTTCTATTGCCGAGGTGGCGGCCTTGGCAACCCACCACCGTGCGGCTCTCGATGTCGACCGTTATACCACTTTACTTAAATATATATTCTTATATTTGTTATCAATATTTTTTATTATTTTCGAGCACAGGCCCAACACATCAATAAGCCAGTACCAAACAGCACCATCATCAATAATAGATAAGAGATGACACATTGCTTGACTTGAGCCAAGTTGTAGGAGTAGTAAGAGGAGCAATGGCAGACAACTGAAGAGTGACGCAGCGCGAGGGGAAAGCAGAAACAGAAGTGAGGTGACCTGCAGTGTGCTGAGTGAACCCTGTGGTAAGTGAACCCTGTGGTGAGTGAACCCTGTGGTAAGTGAACACTGTGGTGAGTGTGGTGAGTGAGTTTTGTGACCTGCAGTGTGGTGAGTGAACCCTGTGGTGAGTGGACCTTGTGGTGAGTGAACACTGTGGTGAGTAAACGCTGTGGTAAGTGAACACTGTGGTGAGTGAACCCTGTGGTGAGTGAGTGTTGTGACCTGCAGTGCGGTGAGTGAACACTGGCAAGTGAAGACTGTGGTGAGTGTGGTGAGTGAACACAGTCTGGATGAGACGAAACCATCTGGTAGACCAAGTCCTCATCGATATAAAGTGGTAACATGCTGCACAAGCCAGATGATTGTGAAACATGTTCCACGTAACAGAGAGAGCGCTGACAAATGCCACACATTCAGCTTGTGAGCTGGTGGTCTGGACAAGGCTGAGGAGCTTGTCCATGCAGTGAGGTGGTCACATGACACGCAAGGCAAGATGGATGCGAGTTGTGCCTCTGCTGGCTGCGAGCAGCATGCGTCAAGTCGCTCGGCGGTTGTGAGGAGCGTTCTCAGTGAGCACACGGAGAGAGCTCCTTTGCTGCTGTTGTGCGGTTCTCATCCGGCAGCTCAACCTTTGTTAACGCCGCAGTCTGGTTTGGCCGTCAACGCGACGCGCCGTCTGCTTTGTTTACTGCGGCGTTAATTAAGCCACGAGGCCATTCATCGCAGCCCTCGAGCGTGCACCGGCATCACGGTGCAAATTTGTCGAGATTGGAAAGTAACAACGCTAATTACTGCAATCGTCACAGCATTTGCGATTGCTATACACGAAGCAATCGTCTTGCTCCACTTTAAAAGCTTTGCAGGACAAAACTGAAAAAGTTGAGGTTTTTCTAGCTAAGAAAGCATCATAATAATGATGATAATCGTGAAAGCATCATAGGGAGTGTACGCACGTGTGGCCAGCAGACTGACGGTGCTGAGCCCCAGGGGATTGTTGGCCTGGCAGGTGTAGTTGCCATAGTGGAGCTCGGTGACGTTGTGGAAGGAGAGAGTGGATCGGCGGCCCTCCGTGCGGATGCTCACCCCGCTAACGCCATCTTGCAGCCTGCACGAGACTCACAAGGCCAGGCGGCTGGTTACTCCACTCGCTCCCATGACAACCACTCGCTCCCATGACAACCACTCGCTCCCATGACAACCACTCGCCTGCTATGTCCCCTTCCTGACTCCTGCATTGCTGCTGCTGAGATGGTACACGTGGTCACAATGTGGTGCAGAGAAAGGGGCTGAGAGTGGAGATGGGGCTGGGAGTGGAGTCGGGGCTGGGAGTGGAGATGGGGCTGGGAGTGGAGATGGGGCTGGGAGTGGAGATGGGGCTGGGAGTGGAGATGGGGCTGGGAGTGGAGATGGGGCTGGGAGTGGAGTCGGGGCTGGGAGTGGAGTCGGGGCTGGGAGTGGAGATGGGGCTGGGAGTGGAGATGGGGCTGGGAGTGGAGATGGGGCTGGGAGTGGAGATGGGGCTGGGAGTGGAGATGGGGCTGGGAGTGGAGATGGGGCTGGGAGTGGAGATCGGGGCTGGGAGTGGAGATGGGGCTGGGAGTGGAGATGGGGCTGGGAGTGGAGATCGGGCTGGGAGTGGAGTCGGAGCTGGGAGTGGAGATGGGGCTGGGAGTGGAGATGGGGCTGGGAGTGGAGATGGGGCTGGGAGTGGAGATGGGGCTGGGAGTGGAGATGGGGCTGGGAGTGGAGTCGGGGCTGGGAGTGGAGATGGGGCTGGGAGTGGAGATCGGGGCTGGGAGTGGAGTCGGGCTGGGAGTGGAGTCGGGGCTGGGAGTGGAGTCGGGGCTGGGAGTGGAGTCGGGGCTGGGAGTGGAGTCAGGGCTAGGAGTGGAGATGGGGCTGGGAGTGGAGATGGGGCTGGGAGTGGAGATGGGGCTGGGAGTGGAGATGAGGCTGGGAGTGGAGTCGGGGCTGGGAGTGGAGTCGGGGCTGGGAGTGGAGTCGGGGCTGGGAGTGGAGTCGGAGCTGGGAGTGGAGATGGGGCTGGGAGTGGAGATGGGGCTGGGAATGGAGATGGGGCTGGGAGTGGAGTCGGGGCTGGGAGTGGAGTCGGGGCTGGGAGTGGAGTCGGGGCTGGGAGTGGAGTCGAGCTGGGAGTGGAGATGGGGCTGGGAGTGGAGTCGGGGCTGGGAATGGAGATGGGGCTGGGAGTGGAGATGGGGCTGGGAGTGGAGTCGGGGCTGGGAGTGGAGTCGGGGCTGGGAGTGGAGATGGGGCTGGGAGTGGAGTCGGGGCTGGGAGTGGAGTCGGGGCTGGGAGTGGAGTCGGGGCTGGGAGTGGAGATGGGGCTGGGAGTGGAGTCGGGGCTGGGAGTGGAGATGAGGCTGGGAGTGGAGATGGGGCTGGGAGTGGAGTCGGGGCTGGGAATGGAGATGGGGCTGGGAGTGGAGTCGGGGCTGGGAGTGGAGTCAGGGCTAGGAGTGGAGATGGGGCTGGGCGGGGGGTTTCGTCACCTCTTGTTCTCCTTGAACCACAGAAACGATGGCAGGGGCACGGCAGCGGCCTCACATCGCAGAGAACCCAAGCGGCCCACCAACATGCCATTGCTGCGCACCTCCAGTCCCGACGGGGGATCTGTAAAGACAACGATCCCTGTGTAGCCTCAACAGACTGTTGGGGCAAGTGCAGTTCGCAAGTGATCACCTGAGTGGATGAATGAGTGAATAGGTTCCAGAGGCGGCCACTCACAGTTGACGGTGACGCGCACTTTGCGCGTGTCTGTGGACGCAATGTCGTTGGTGGCGCTGCACTGGTATTCGCCGGCCTGGTCGCGCGAGATGCCCTCGATCTCCAGGAACTCGCCCTCATACTCGTCATCCTTGGCTGCAGGAGGCGACACGGACGCACTCTCTATAGCCGGACGGTGGTGGTGGTGGCTACGCTGCATATGGCCTGTAATCCAGCACTGTGGAGGTGGTGAGCGTTGGGGGATCACTGCACAGATGTTGTGAAACTCCCTGGTTCACCAGGAGAAGGCAGCATGGCAAGTTGGCTAATCGGCACCTGTTTCCATCTGTATGGGGATATCGTGTAGCCCCCTCATATGCTTGGGTTTTCTCTGGGTGCTCCAGTTTACTCTCCCGTGCATAATAAAGACAACTCAAACAGCTTAAAATGAAAACCCAATGGAGCTGCACCCACTTGAAAATGAGTCCTACGACTGTGTGGCTTTCCTCGATATTTCAATAAATTATAATAATGTATTATTATACACTCACTCCACACTCACGATACACACTACAGGAGGTCCCCGATATACGTCGCCATAATATACGTCGTTTTGCACTCACGTTGCCGACTTTGAGGAAGCGAACGTTGCATTGCTCCACACCTGCACCGTTATGTCGTTACAGCGACACGTCGCTTTCGAGTCAGTTCAGCTTCGTATATAAACACTGCTGTGAGTCGTATTTCGTGCATGACCCGCCATCTCAGCACCTATCCCCAGCATCCTGTCTCTCTCACGGTGTACATTGCGAGTGCTCATTGTAATCGGCCTAATCCTCTCCAAACACCTTCTCCAATTAAGCCAATCAAGGGCCACTCATCCATTCAAGGTAAGATTGTAGCAATTATAGTTCAAGGTAAAATATATATTTTTTAATGTTGTTTAAAATCTTGTGGTTTTTTACACTAAAAATAGTTTTTATGTTTGTGGCATTGCTTAAAAATGTCACGAAAACTTTTATTTAAAAAAAGGAAACCTTTTAAAGTGCACAGGGCTGCTTCGAAATGCTCATAAAGTGGTTTTCAATTAAGAATTTGGTAAGAAGATCGTAATGAGCCAGGCTATGCGTCAACTGTGTTAGCCGACTCTCTGTGCTGCATTGCCTATTTCTCTCTCTAAAGTTCACCAGGCTCTCATAGGGCCGGCCATTCGATCTTCTTTCCCTCGGTCGCTTCGGGGTGGATTCATTGACATGCTAATTTCTCTGCTCCAGCAGCTGCTCCAGCAGACCAACCTCTCTCTCTATTTAAGGCCTCGACACAGGCATTGGGTCTCTGTGTGCCTATGTTGTGAGTCTCTCTCTGTGTGTCTCTGTGTTGTCTCGCTCTGCTTGTGTGTCTGTCTGTGTGTCTCCGTGTCTGTGTTTGGTCTCTCTCAAATTTAGTTCTACCTGATGACGGTTGCTTGTGTTGCAATCGAAACGTCGTACTTTATTATTTAATTTAGTTTATTTCTACGTGACTTTACCGAAAGAACCAAAGAGTATATATCCATTACCGGTTGGGTTATTCATAGAGTAATCAACATATAATATGCATGTACATTATGCATGCACACCATGCATGTACATGCTGCCGTTTTCGGGTGCAAGAAATTGCAATAGCTGTTATTGTCTGCTCACAGGTAGCCACCATGCACGTATGGTGACCTGTATGGGCATGCAGTTAAGCAGTCTGTCACTTGATGATTCACTTCCAAGCAGCACTACGCCTGTAGCTACCAGAGCGGTTACGATTATTTTTATTTCTCTCAATTTCGATAGATTCTCGAACTAGTCTTGGCCAGTAGTAACTAGTTTTGCACAGAGCTTCAACATTATCCAAGTCAATTGAGTGTTCTGCGTGTTCTGCCACTGCCGGCAGTTGTATCGTATAGGTACTGTACACGTACAGTACCTATTTTGGACCCAATCCCCCCCATTTTCTATTATTCTTATGGAGGGATATTACTCATTATACATAATTTCATTTTAAGTTGCAATTTTCTGGTCCTTAACCCCAACATATATCAGCGACCCCCGTATCATAACACACTACAACACCACACTCACTATATACGGCACGCTACGGCAACACACTACGACACCACAAGCACTAAACACACACAACAACAACAACACCACGCACTACACAACAACAACACGCACTGCACACACAACACACTCACTCAACATTACACTCACTCTGGTAATACACCACACACACGACACACACTACAACAACACGCACTACACACACCACGGCCATCGTGGCGACACACCCTCACGGGACACGGGACACAGCATGGTGCCCGCTCAGTCGCTCACCGGCGGGAGACAGGTGCCTCCAGGTAATGCTGGGCTCAGGCTGCCCCATTCCCCAGCACGAGATGGTCACGTTGGCACCTTCGTTCACCGTCACGTCCCCCGAGATGTTCGTGATCCTGGGCGGCACTGCAGCAGAGTCGTAGAGAGTGGGCGCGGCACGATGGCACGTTTACCCCCCCACCCGGATAAGGGATTCAGAATGTGCAATGCCAGGGCTGAGCCTAGGTCATGCTGGATTAGGAGGCTGCTTGGAGTGCCAGGTGGCATTGGGTTGGGGCCAGCCGTGAGGTGGCCAACATGTGGAAGCACAGCAATGGATTCTTGAATCTATCCACGCGGATATTTGAGTGTCACCTCTTCCCGTGCATTGTGGATTTCCTCCAGGGTCTCCAGTTTCCTCCCACAAGAAGCCAAACTCTCATTATTGGAATTCGCCATACACCCCAATGTGGCAGTGCCATTCTGAAAAGAGTATTAGTTTCAGGGAAAACGTCTCTGCCACAGTTATGGCCTCCTATCTGTATGATTGCAGGAACATATGCACCATTTTGAAAGATTCAGGCTGGCCTACCCACGATCCATCCTGGGTTTAACCAGACTGGATCGTGTGAGGAGCTCACAAATCCTTGAAAAATCTGGACACAATCCCTTCAACAGTGAGCTCCTCCAGCAGGCAAGGCTGCATTAGCTGGGTCCTGTAGCCCGCATGCCCAGCCACAGCATTACCAAGCAGCTTCTGTATGACCGGATAGAGGGGACTAAACGGGCATGGCTCGGCCTGGAGAAGAGATGGAGTGATGCGGTACAGGAGGATGTGGAGCTGATTGGACTTGTCGATGACCGGTACCAGCGGTGTCGAGATCGGCCTCTGTGGAGAAGGCTCGTGAAGGATGCTACTGGGCAGTTGGAGGCAGTCGCCCTCCAGCAACAACGGAGGGTGCAGCAATAATGCTCACGAGTGAATCGCCAGACACTAAAACGCATTAAGTTGGCACAGTGGAAAGCACAGTTTGTGTACAGGATTCAATAATCTCAGTCAACCCATAGCACCTGGGTCTGTCCCGTGACCTGACAGCAGGCTTTCCACACTTCACATAGTCTCAAAGTGCACCTAGCCTGGCACAAGAGGCATGGTGACATCACCACCACTTTACGGTGAATGACAGCTGTCGTTGTGTATGTGTGAAAGTGTGTAGGTGCGAGTGTGAATGTGTGTGAGTGTGTACGAGTTGGGGCGTGTGCGAGTCTGGGCCACGGAGCCGAGGTTGAGCCGCACAATTGCGTGACGAATGCAGCTGTGAATCCCAAGCGACGCTGATGAATGGAGCGGGATGGAGAGGGCAGTCCCTCTACCCTCTCTCTCTCTCCCACCTCTCCCCCCTCTCTTCCTGGGGCACAGCAAGAAGGACCCCTGCCCTTGGCGCCACGATGTGTCATCAGAGAGCACAAGGACGGTGCTGCTAACGGGGCAAATCCCGGGTCTGCGTCCAACATATACATCATCATCAAGATGTCATCACGGACAAAGCCTTTGATGTCACCTTCACCACACCTCACTACCAACGCTCTCTACCCTCCCGACAGATTCAGCAGCTGCTGCACAAGAGAAACACACCAACCTTCAAGATCTCCCCTGACAGTCTCCCACCACCATCTGCTCTTTACTCACAGAGACACCCATAGACTCGCACAGAGATCCACAGACTCACAGAGTACAGTTAAGCATGTTAAGTCAGGTGAGATCTACGGAGACCCATAGATCTGCCCTCACAGTATCCAACCATCTGGCCGTAGGTCTTCCCCAGTCTCTGTCTCAGCAATCGGCCCTCCCCATGCTGCCTAACCTCACATCCACAGCACTCAGCTGCCGATTGCTTTTCCCAACCTCCAATTCCCGTGCCCCACCCTCCCCCATCCTGCACGCGCAGGCTCCTCCAGCGTGCGCACGCAGCGAGCGGGGTGAGTCTGTAGGCGGGGGCGCTCACCCTGCACGATGAGGTGGTAGTGAGTGGTATGGGGGCCGCTGCTGGGCGTCTGCACGGAGCAGGTGTAGGTCCCCTCGTCCCGGGGGGTCAACTGGGCGACCCTCAGGCTGTACTCGCCCCCGCCGGCGACCCCCACCAGCGTGACACGCGGATCGCTCGACCACTTGTCAGAGCCGGCAAACACGATGATAGAGCGGTTGAGCCACGCGGCGCGGCCCACGTGGCCCTCCAGGTAGCACCTGCGTGACGACATGGAGACACCGTGACACACACACAGAGACACCGTGACACACACAGAGACACAGTGTACACACAAAGACACCGTGCACACACAGAGACACCGTGTACACACAGAGACACAGTGTACACACACAGAGACACCGTGACACACGGTGATGTACACACGGTGATGTACACGCAGTGTACACACAGAGACACAGTGTTCACACACAGAGACACCGTGACACACGGTGATGTACACACGGTGATGTACACGCAGTGTACACACAGAGACACTGTACACACGGTGATGTACACGCAGTGTCACACAGAGATATAGGTAACACCTGTGTGATGTGGTGATTGTAGTTATGGTTGTAATGTGGTTATGATGCAGTTGTGGCTTTGGTTGTGGTTGTTTTAGTTGTGGTTATATTGTGGCTGCCATGGTTGTGGTCACGTGGTTGGGGAGCGGGAATGTAGCGTGGTGCTGGCCACCCACCCCCTTTGTGTGCCGTGCTCGCTAACACCACTTGCTCTAACAGTCTGTTAAGGCTACACGGGGGATCATTGTGGGAATATTACTCCAAGTCTGTGTATTACCCTACACTGAACCCTCTCTCCTCGTCACAGATGCTTAGATGATCACGTATTCCTAGCACTGCCTGCCAATTTGCGTTGGATGTAGCTGGTTTCAATCAGTGCGCCCCCCCCCCCCTCTTCTTAAAAATGCGGACCACCAGGGCATCCTTCCAATCCTGTGGACCCATTCTCAGCCTGCATACAAATGCCACCATCCCTCAGCAGTTCGCCTGAGTGGTCTCTGGCTCTGGATCGACTTTCGCGTTTCCTCAACAGATGGCACGCCATCTATACATACTGTACATTAGCGTGAGTACATCAGCAGGCGTACAGGAGGAGGAACAGGCACGCACGGAGACATGGACTCCTCCCACCTCAGGATCGCCGTCTCCCCGAGTCTCAGCGTCACGTTGTTGCCAGTCCGCGTCGCCCCCTCTGCAGGACGCGACGCAAACCCTGCGAGGAGAATACACAGCAGGGGGCAGCCCCCCAACAAAGTTGTCCTATCTCGCCCCTCCACTCCCCCATGCAGCCCCCCCCCCCCCCAGAGTTGTCTACCCCGCCCCTCCACTTCCCCCATGCTGCCCCCCCCCCCCAGAGTTGTCTACCCCGCCCCTCCACTCCCCCCATGCTGCCCCCCCCCCCCAGAGTTGTCTACCCCGCCCCTCCACTTCCCCCATGCTGCCCCCCCCCCACCAGAGTTGTCTACCCCGCCCCTCCACTCCCCGCATGCTGCCCCCCCACCAGAGTTGTCTACCCCGCCCCTCCACTCCCCCCATGCTGCCCCCCCCCCACCAGAGTTGTCTACCCCACCCCTCCACTCCCCCCATGCTGCCCCCCCCCCACCAGAGTTGTCTACCCCGCCCCTCCACTCCCCCCATGCTGCCCCCCCACCAGTTGTCTACCCCGCCCCTCCACTCCCACCATGCTGCCCCCCCACCAGAGTTGTCTACCCCGCACCTCCACTCCCCCCATGCTGCCCCCCCCCCACCAGAGTTGTCTACCCCGCCCCTCCACTCCCCCCATGCTGCCCCCCCACCAGAGTTGTCTACCCCGCCCCTCCACTCCCCCCATGCTGCCCCCCCCCCCACCAGAGTTGTCTACCCCGCCCCTCCACTCCCCCCATGCTGCCCCCCCCACCAGAGTTGTCTACCCCGCCCCTCCACTCCCCCCATGCTGCCCCCCCCCACCAGAGTTGTCTACCCCGCCCCTCCACTCCCCCCATGCTGGCCCCCCCCCCCACCAGAGTTGTCTACCCCGCCCCTCCACTCCCCCCATGCTGCCCCCCCCCCTACCAGAGTTGTCTACCCCGCCCCTCCACTCCCCCCATGCTGCCCCCCCCCCTACCAGAGTTGTCTACCCCGCCCCTCCACTGCCCCCATGCTGCCCCCCCCCCACCAGAGTTGTCTACCCCGCCCCTCCACTCCCCCATGCAGCCCCCCCCCCAGAGTTGTCTACCCCGCCCCTCCACTCCCCCCATGCTGCCCCCCCCCCAGAGTTGTCTACCCCGCCCCTCCACTCCCCCCATGCTGCCCCCCCCCCCCAGAGTTGTCTACCCCGCCCCTCCACTTCCCCCATGCTGCCCCCCCCCCCACCAGAGTTGTCTACCCCGCCCCTCCACTCCCCCCATGCTGCCCCCCCACCAGAGTTGTCTACCCCGCCCCTCCACTCCCCCCATGCTGCCCCCCCCCCACCAGAGTTGTCTACCCCACCCCTCCACTCCCCCCATGCTGCCCCCCCCCACCAGAGTTGTCTACCCCGCCCCTCCACTCCCCCCATGCTGCCCCCCCACCAGTTGTCTACCCCGCCCCTCCACTCCCCCCATGCTGCCCCCCCACCAGAGTTGTCTACCCCGCCCCTCCACTCCCCCCATGCTGCCCCCCCCCCCCCACCAGAGTTGTCTACCCCGCCCCTCCACTCCCCCCATGCTGCCCCCCACCAGAGTTGTCTACCCCGCCCCTCCACTCCCCCCATGCTGCCCCCCCCCACCAGAGTTGTCTACCCCGCCCCTCCACTCCCCCCATGCTGCCCCCCCCCACCAGAGTTGTCTACCCCGCCCCTCCACTCCCCCCATGCTGCCCCCCCCCCACCAGAGTTGTCTACCCCGCCCCTCCACTCCCCCCATGCTGCCCCCCCCCCCCACCAGAGTTGTCTACCCCGCCCCTCCACTCCCCCATGCTGCCCCCCCCCCTACCAGAGTTGTCTACCCCGCCCCTCCACTGCCCCCATGCTGCCCCCCCCCACCAGAGTTGTCTACCCCGCCCCTCCACTCCCCCCATGCTGCCTCCCCCCCTACCAGAGTTGTCTACCCCGCCCCTCCACTCCCCCATGCTGCCCCCCGCCCCCACCAGAGTTGTCTACCCCGCCCCTCCACTCCCCCCATGCTGCCCCCCCACCAGAGTTGTCTACCCCGCCCCTCCACTCCCCCCATGCTGCCCCCCCCCCCACCAGAGTTGTCTACCCCGCCCCTCCACTCCCCCCATGCTGCCCCCCCACCAGAGTTGTCTACCCCGCCCCTCCACTCCCCCCATGCTGCCCCCCCCCCCACCAGAGTTGTCTACCCCGCCCCTCCACTCCCCCCATGCTGCCCCCCCCCCACCAGAGTTGTCTACCCCGCCCCTCCACTCCCCCCATGCTGCCCCCCCCCCCACCAGAGTTGTCTACCCCGCCCCTCCACTCCCCCCATGCTGCCCCCCCCCACCAGAGTTGTCTACCCCGCCCCTCCACTCCCCCCATGCTGCCCCCCCCCCTACCAGAGTTGTCTACCCCGCCCCTCCACTCCCCCCATGCTGCCCCCCCCCCCACCAGAGTTGTCTACCCCGCCCCTCCACTCCCCCCATGCTGCCCCCCCCCCACCAGAGTTGTCTACCCCGCCCCTCCACTCCCCCCATGCTGCCCCCCCCCACCAGAGTTGTCTACCCCGCCCCTCCACTCCCCCCATGCTGCCCCCCCCCCCCACCAGAGTTGTCTACCCCGCCCCTCCACTCCCCCCATGCTGCCCCCCCCCCTACCAGAGTTGTCTACCCCGCCCCTCCACTCCATTGGGTGCACGACCGTCACCACCGACGGTGTGCAGCACAACACCACGGCAACTACAATTCACAGCCTGCGCGGGTTCTTTTCCAGTTTCCTCCCAATGGATTCATCATTGACGTGTGGGTCAGATCGTCTCAGTGAAATGACTGCCGTAAACCCTCCTTCACCCAGCACAGCCAATTAACAAGTCTGTCACGTGAACAAGTGCCAACTACTGCTTCAGCACCACAATGTATTGGAGAGCAACGTCACAACAATTGATAATTGGTTATGAGGTTTCGCTCAAAGTTGTTGTTTTTTTCTCTCAGCAATGGAATCCATGGCCAAGCATCCTAATGTAGTAGGCCCCCCTGCTGACACACAGTCCTCAGGCTCAGTGAGAATTTTCTGGGTAAAAGAAGGGCGTTGTTATGATTTGTACACTGCCACCATTTCCCCATGGGAGATAGGATTTGGCGGCATTCCACATTCAGGAATGTCACAGCACCGCGTCGTCTGTCTTTAAGAAAACCAGCCTCAGTTAAAGGAGGCGAGACCCATTCACATCCACAGCGCGACTCGGCTCTGTGGATAGCACGCACACAGTACACATACAGAACACACACAGTACACATACAGAACACACACAGTACACATACAGAACACACACAGTACACATACAGAACACACACAGTACACGCACAGCCCATACAATACACACAGTACACACACAGCACACGTACAATACACACAGTACACACAGCACACATACAATACAAACAATATACAGAATACACACAACAGAACAACGTATTCAACATACACCCAACACACACACACACATATCACTGTGCAGAACACAGCACACATCACAATGCACTCACTGCACACACACACACAATGCACTCAATGCAGCACACACACACCATGCATTCACTGCTGCACACACACATCACTGTGCAGAACACAGCACACACACACACATCACTGTGCAGAACACAGCACACACACACATCACAATGCACTCACTGCTGCACCCACACACACGACTCCTCTGTCTGTGTTCGCCCACACACCCTCGGCCTCCCCTCCCACTCGACCTGACCCCCCACGATGTCACCATGGCAACCCCTGCACCCTCTCCCCTCCTCCCCCCACCCCGCCCGCCTCCCTCCCCCTAGCCCCGCCCGCCGATCCCCGTCGTGAATCCGCAGCCACCCGGCGAGTGAGCGCTGCGTGGGGAGCGGTGGCGCAGTGGTTGGCGCTGCGCTGCGTGGGGAGCGGTGGCGCAGTGGTTGGCGCTGCGCTACGAACCCGGCCCCTCCCGCTCACGGCCAACATCGGTGACGTGTCAATTCTCATCCGGTTATGGGCACCCTCTGGGTAGACTCAACCTTAAAACAGAACTTATTTTGCAGCGTATTAATAAACATCTGCACTGGTGAGACAAAGGTGGCCGGGTGTAGTTCAGGGCACATCAACCGCTCTTACGCCGTGATGACCGTGATAGGTGCTCGCTCGCTAACAGCACTCGCCCCAACCGCACACTTCGGCTTCGCAGGCGCTGTTGTTGTGCGCTGTGTCGTCAGGCTCACCACCGGGGGACCTCGTCTTGTGTTGAAGATTCGCGCCCCACCCCCGCCTGATTAACGGCCCCAATTAGCGCGCTCGTAATGGGCCGTGATTAATTAGCGCCCGCGTCCCGCAGCCGCGGAGTTGCACGGGGAGTCTCCTCCACGCTCCCCTCTCCAATCAACACCAATTAAGCTCCAATTAATTCATTACGCCGTGCCCGTATGCTCTGCATTAACAAACGCGCATGTGATTACTTCCACCTCATATCTCGGTCTGCACACAACAAACAGTTGCCGCCGTATCACTCTTCTATCGCCATGGCCATGGCCAGAATCTGTGTTGAGACTGGAGGAATCGGACGAGTTCTGACGCTCTTCGAGATTCACAGTTGGTTACTGCGAGTTTCTCTCCTTGAGTCCTCTCGTTGACTCGGTCAATTTCAGACATCGTCACCGAATCCACCACACCGAAGGTTACTACAACAGCGCACTCAAGCGCCCACTCACTCACTCGACCACTCATCACACTGTGCGGTCCCATCGACACTCTTCAACCACCACACGAGAGGTCACAACAACTCCACAAATCTCAGATTCACCCAACCCCACCCAGTGAACCACTCACCCGCTCACCGCAGTGCAGGTCACTTCACTTCGACTTCTTCTCTCGCACTGCTCCACACTGGAAACATTCCCTCCTCCTCCCATCATCATCACCGTCTCCTTTTCCCAACCTCATTCAAGAACAACTTCGCTCAATTCACGAACCGCGTTACACTCTTGTCGAGTACCAAGTCGAGAGGGCCGCTTGTGTTTTGCCACTCGGCGATTTGGGTCCGCGCTAAGCCACTTCGTTGACATGTATAT